AGTGTTGAAAATTAACTGAAATGTGATCCCTGTTAAACATAAGAGTGGGAATAAGAGAGGGAAGAGATGTATAATTTGGGACATGCTCAAGCTGACTTGCCCCAAATGGTAGAGTTGGAAACATACCAGGGGATTCCAATTCAATCCCATCAAGGTGGCATGTGCCAATGCCATCTCACTACTCCAAGTGATCAATTTCAGTTCACAATTGATCATAATGAAAGGACTAAGAGTCAAAGGGAGCACATAAACAAGTCTAGTATCTGCTAACACCAACCGATAGAATAAATAAAGGGGAGAGTGATCCAACATGGGAAGTGAGATACTCAGCAGACTCATAGAATGGCAGATGTCCTAAATAGCACTCTGGCCTCAGAATCAGCCCTTAAGGCATGCGGATCTGGCTGAAAAGCCCATGAGAGTATTTCAGGCATGGAAAGCCAAGACACTCTGGCAAAAGATCTCTGTGAGTGAGATCCCAGTGGAAAGAACAGGTCTTCAAAGAGGGAGGTACCTTTCTCTGAAGGGAGGAGGGAACTTCCACCTTGACTATGACCTTGTCTAAACAAGATAAGAATCGGAGAACTCAGAGGGCTTCCATAGCCTTGGAAACTCATGACTGGAGCATAGGAAGATTACTGATGCCATAGACAGGAGTGTCAATTGGTAAAGTCAACAACAGGAGTCACTGTGCACTTACTCCTCACGTAGGATCTCTGTCCTTAATGTGCTGTGCATTGAGATTTAATGCTATAACGAGTACTCAAACAATATATTTCACTTTGTGTTTCTATGGGGGTGCAAACTGTTGAAATCTTTACTTAATGCATACTAAACTGATGCTCTGTAAAAAAAAAAAAGAAAATATCAACTCGCAACTTGACTCTCACTGGGATTAAACATGACAATAGGTCTGATCTGATTTCATCATCATTTAAAAAAAATCATCTATTATTTTTCACTTTATGTTTCTGTGTGGGAGTAAACTGTTGAAATCCTTACTTAATGTATACTAAGCTGATCTTCTGATTAAATGTTTTACCCAAAAGAAGATGCCTGGGTCAAACATTCAAATAGATCCAAGAAAGAATTACACAGATGAAATGATTGCTTTTACTCACTCTGAAGAAGACAATACAATAGTCTGGTTTTCACTGGGAATATTTGATTTTCCCAGATTTTATTCTGCCATACATATCATTCAATATCTTGGACAGGATATTCTATTTTAATTAGTGTGGCATTGAAAATTATTAAAGAATGCTGTTATGAATTAATTTATTTGTTGAATATGAACTATGATTTATTTTCCCTTGAATTGTGGACAGATTTTTTAATTTTTATTTTTTATAACCTCACTAAAAGGTAACCCACTTACTAGCCATGTGAATGTGAGAGGGTTACTTACTAGCTTTGTGACTTATTTTCTTATTTATAATACAGGAAAAAATGATAGTAATACATACTTCATAGTTTTTTTTTTTTGGACAGGAAGAGTTAGACAGTGAGTGAGAGAGAGAGAGACAGAGAGAAAGGTCTTTCTTTTCCATGGATTCACCCCCCAAATGGCCACTGCAGCAGGCACGCTGCAGCCGGCGCACTGTGCCGATCCGAAGCCAGGAGCCAGGTGCTTCCTCCTGGTCTCCCATGCGGGTGCAGGGCCCAAGGACTTGGGCCATCCTCCACTGCCTTCCCGGGCCACAGCAGAGAGCTAGACTGGAAGAGGAGCAACTGGGACAGAATCTGGCTCCCAGAGACTAGAACCCGGGGTGCCAGCGCCACAGGCGAAGGATTAACCAAGTAAGCCACAGCGCCGGCTGTATAGGATTGTTATAGTAAGTTGTAAACTAATTTTTTAACAGTGACTATAAGAAATTTTGGTACATAGTAAGGTTTATGTGTTTATTAAATAAAAACTAAAATGATAACATAATTTTTTGGTATTTTCTGATTGACTTTCTCTCAATTAGAAGAAATTCAAATATAAAACATGGCCTCTTTCACAATTGATCATAATGATAGGACTAAGAGTCAAAGGGATCACATAAACAAGAATAGTGTCTGAAAATACTAACCGATAGAATAAAAAAGGGAGAGAACGATCCAACATGGGAAGTGGGATACACAGCAGATTCATAGAATGGCGGATGTCCTAAACAGCACTCTGGCCTCAGAATCAGCCCTTAAGGCATTCAGATCTGGCTGAAAAGCCCATGAAAGTATTTCAGGCGTGGAAAGCCAAGACACTCTGGCAAAAAAAAAAAAAAAAGACCTAAATGAAAGATCTTTGCGAGTGAGATCCCAGTGGAAAGAACAGGTCATCAAAGAAGGACGTACCTTTCTCTGAAGGGTGGAGAGAACTTCCACTTTGACTATGACCTTGTCTAAATATGATCAGAGTCGGTGAACTCAAAAGGCTTCCATAGCCTTGACGACTCATGACAAGAGCCTAGGGTGATTACTGAGGCCATAAACAAGAGTGTCAATTTGTTAAGTCAACAATAGGAGTCACTGTAGGATCTCTGTCCTTAATGTGCTGTACATTGTGATTTAATGCTATAACTAGTCCTCAAACAGTATTTTTCACTTTGTGTTTCTATGTGGGTGCAAACTGTTGAAATCTTTACTTAATATATACTAAACTGATCTTCTGTATATAAAGAGAATTGAAAATGAATCTTGATATGAATGGAAGGGGAGAAGGAGCGGGAAAGGGGAGGGTTGCGGGTGGGAGGGAAGTTATGGGGGGGGAAGCCATTGTAATCCATAAGCTGTACTTTGTAAATTCATAATCATTAAATAAAAGTTTAAAAAAACAAAACAAACAAAAAAACCATGGCATCTTTAATAGAAAAATCAGTATTTTTGTTTTTAGAAGTATGTTTGAGTGTGTCGTACCATAGGGCTCATAGCTCATAGCTCTTCCCCTTTTATGTTATAATTCTCCAATAGTAGTGTCAGTTATTCAAGGGTAGGAACCATATCTTATTCACTTTTGCCTGCAAAAAATAACAGAGAATCTGGCAAAACTTTGGTATCTGATAAATGCTGTTTAAATTAATGAACATTTAATTATTCTTTCTTGGTCATTTTTTTGGGAATCCTCTGTTTGGTCAAACACCAACTTTCCCAGACATCCCTGGTTAGTCCAGCTTCCTGTGACAATGGCAAATCTACCACAAAGCTACTGTGATGGGAAAACTCTGACATAATGAAGAGTGCTTGGCAGGAGCACAAGTCACCAATTTCCAGAAACCTTACCACTAAGTCCTACATTCTTCTATCGAATCTGTTTGAAGCAACTTTTTGAATATGAAGTGATGGCTTTAGCATCCTCTGTGTGTAGTGGTCTGAGGAAGTGTGTTTTGACTCATTCCCCACCCTATCCCGAAAAAGATGATTTATCTCATGACTGGCAGTTTAAACCATTTTTGTCCAATGAGTAGAATAGTTTTCTAAAGAAGATCTGTCAGGAAATTCCATTTTTAATAAAAAAATTGTTTAGCAAATGCTTATTGACTACTAAGAAAAATAAGCACTTTTACACATTGAAACCATTTTCTATAAAACACATAAAGTATATTTTTATAATATTACCATTGTTTTGAAAATATCTGTTAATGCCTTGGATTCTTATGGAGATAGCCTGCTTAACATAGGGGTGTTTAATGAGTTATAATGTCCCCATCATTATTATTGACATTGCCATCCAATGCTACCATTCCTCACCTCTCCAACTCCCATCAACATCCACTTCCTTTCTCATCTATCCAATCTTTGTCAGGCTTGAGTCAAGCCTGGATTGTGGGCTCATGCTGCTGCCTATGCCTGTAAGTTGAATAATGGTTTTGTGTTGTTTACTGCCAGAACTGAAGCCCTTAGATCTCCTTTATCAGCTTCTCAGTGTAGCAGCCAGAGCGGAGCAGCGAAACTAACCCAGAAGCTGCTGATGCACATCCTTTACCTCCACTGAGCTGATTGGAGCTAATTCTCTAGCCTTGGAGAAGAGCTTATTTAAAAAGTGTAGGGGCTGGCACTGTGGCATAACGGGTAAAGCCGCCGCCTGCAGTTCCGGCATCCCATATGGGTGCCAGTTCAAGACCCGTTTGCTCCACCTCCGATCCAGCTCCCTGCCATGCCTGGGAAAGCAGTAGATGGCCCAAGTCGTTGGGCCCCTGCACCCATGTGGGAGACCCGGAAGAAGCTCCTGGCTCCTGGCTTTGGATTGGCTCAGCTCCAGCCTTTGAGGCCATCTGGGGAGTAAACCAGCGGATAGAACTCTCTCCCTCTCTCTCTCTCTCCCTCTCTCTCTCTCTCTCTGCCTCTCTTTCTGTGTAATTCTGACTTTCAAATAAATAATCTTAAAAAGTGTATAAGAGTATAGTGGAGGGAAATATATCAGAATGAAGTGTGTAGAAGGTTGGTGAGAGTTGTGAATGACAGCAGAGGTGTGTGAATGAATATTTAGGAGATGGGATTAGTTTGGACAGAGGCGACAGTGATGGAGGAAAACGTGGAAAAGTGAAATGACCATGGCATAGACTCATCTCCTAAGATTCTTTCTGCTTTCCTTCCCTTAAGGTTTTTTTTCTTTAGGTAATATCGTCTTAAAAAAGTTCCATTTTCTCTTCATGACGTATTTCTTGTTTCTAAGATGTGATACTGTTGGAAGGAGACATATTTAAGAAAGATATATTACAAGACTAGGAGATCTGAGCAGGTCATGTTTTCTATCAGCTATTAGTTTCCTTGCCTGCACTCCATTATGTAAATGGATTGCATTGTCAAGAACACAGGATTGAACAGCCAAATTACATATTTATTCTCAGTGCCTGTATTATTTTGCTGGGGATGGGTAATACAATACCACAGACTGAATGGCTTAAGAAAGGAAACTTTTTGTCTCCCAATTCTCAAGGGAGGGAATCTGAGATCAAGGTGTTGCTGGGCGGATTCCTTCTGAGGACTGTGGAGAGTCTGTTGGGCGCCTCTCTCCTGGCTTCTGGTGGTTCGTTGGCAAGCATGGGTATTCCTTGACTTACAGAGATGCTTTATATGTGTTCCAAATTTCCACATTCCATTGTACAGACACCAGGCATATTGGATTAGGGGCCCACTTTTTCCTATTGGGTCCGCATGTTAATTGATTATATCTGTGGTAACCTTATTTTCAAATAGGTCACATTCTGGAGTACTGGAAGACAGGACTTTCAGCATTTGAATTTTCTTTTGGTGTATGTGTATGTGTGGGGCACGATTTAATCCTTTCCAGTGCCAGTTTAGGAAAATTAAAATCAATTTATTGTTATTGGAAAAATGTCATTCAAGTTGGGTCTTCCAGACCAAAAACTTCTTCAAGGTTTCCCATGTGGGTACAGGGGCCCAAGCACTTAGGCCGTCTTCCACTGCTTTCCCAGACTATAAGCAGAGAGCTGGATTGGAAGAAGAGCAGCCGGGACAGGAACTGGTGCCCATATGGGATGCCAGTTGATTAACCAACTTTGACACAGCACTGGCCCAGAGCCCTTCTCTTTCAGTCATGCTCAAGTTTCCTCAAAGTCATTACCTAATGATATGCTTTTTCCCCCTTTTGTCATTATTCTTTAATATTCAATTATCGCTCAATTTACAAAGTGTTTTTTTCTTTTTATCTGTATTCTTTAATGTTCAATTATCTCTCAATTTACAAAGTGTGCGGTTTAAGAAAATCTGACAACAAAGATGTTGACACTTCAGCATATGACCTCATTCTGCCTGCTGGCTCTTCAACAGTTCAGCTCAGGGGGCTTGGATCAGCTTCCTTCCACAGAAAGGACCACACCAGATTGGAAGGAGGGGAATTTTACTAACAAATCCCTGGGCCACCAGGGTTGGGAGAGCTGCTTTCCACACAGCAGGGCAGCTGGCTTTGAGGGAGCACTTACCACATAAACAGGAGCTAGCACGATTGCTTCCCCTACAGCGCCCTCTCGTGGCAGACTTGCAGGAGGAACTAGCAGCTCAAGTCAGGCTTAAGTGTCAGCAACACTGACAAACCGCTTACAAAGGTCAGAAGTGAACAAAACAGTGCCAGAATGAGTCACATGGCTCAGCTGCATGTACGTCCTGGAAGGGAGAGAGAGTTACGTGCCTTAGGAGCAACAAGAGGCCAAGATCAGTGTCAAGTGGGAGCAGTTAGCATCCACAGACGGAGCGCCGTGCCAGTGTGCAGGGTTCAACGCTGGCTTTTGAAAAGATACTCCAGATCCGGGGCACGCAGTCTTTGTTCTTTGTTTTTGTTTTTAGCAAAGTCTCCCAGCAGTGCCATGACTTCATTTTCAAATATTTCTGGGGCTGGTTTTGCTTCTGTGGCCCAGTAGTAAATACCCCAGTCATTACGGTGCACGTTAGTCAGGCAGTCATAGAGGTTCAGCTGCTTCTCTGTCATGTGGTGCAGATGTTCTTTGGCAAAGAAGCTGAGGAGGATGTAGTTTTCCAACGTTCCCTTCTTTCTGCTCTCATACAGCAGGTGGGCGCTGTTGGTTTCTACAGATTCATAAGATCTCTCCAGCCACATTGTCAAAGGGATTTCAGTCAGGTCTTTTAGGGAAGCAGCTGGGCTATCCCCTCTGTAAAAGTGTCTGGATGATGTTACAGTGAGCAAAGGAGACAGCAGGTTGTACCTCGACAGCATAGCATTCTCTGTTTCTGATCCAGCCTCCTGCTAATGCTCACCCTCTGAGGGAGCACAGGATGGCTCAAGTCCTTGGTCCCCTGCCACCTACATGGGAGATGCAGGTGCAGCTCCTGGCTTCTGATTTCAGCCTGTCCTTGTCCTGGCTTTTGTAGGCACTTGGGTAGTGAAATCAGTAGAAGGAAGCTACCTCTTCTTCTAATTCAAAGGATGGAAGCGATCTAACTTTTTTTTTAAAAGATTTATTTATTTGAAAGTCAGAGTTACACACAGAGAGGCCGAGAGAGAGAGAGAGAGAGAGAGAGAGAGAGAGAGAGGTCTTCCATCGCTAGTTCACTCCCCAACTGGCTGCACTACCAGAGCTGCGCCGATCCGAAGCCAGGAGCCAAGAGCTTCTTCTGAGTCTCCCATGTGGGCACAGGGGCCTAAGGACTAGGGCCATCTTCCACTGCTTTCCCAAGCCATAACAGAGAGCTGGATTAGAAGTAGAGCATCTGGGACTCAAACTGGCACCCACACGGGATGCCGGTACTGCAGGCGGTGGCTCCACCTGCCATGCCACAGCGCCGGCCCCCTGAATTTCTTGAATTGCAGGATTGAACTCTTCTTGGATCTCTCCTTGCCCTGGGCTACTGGACAGCTGCATGGTCTCCTTGATCTCTATGACCATGGAAAAAAGAAACTTAGTCCCTGATACTGTTAGCCCCCGGCTCCAGCCCCTGGAACCTCTGTGTTCCTCACTGGTGCCCATGATATTCTTTAATAAACTGTTCCTACCTTACCAGAATGAATTCTCACCAAGTCTATCATTTCCCCTTCTGTTGGTTAAGGGAAACCCTCTTTAAGGCTGGTCTCCAATCATTAGATAGGGGATCTAGAACAGAGCATCTATCCATTGTTTCGTTATCACTTAGTCTTTACGGAGCCTGGGAAGCTGGGAGAGGTGTTTATTTCTGTTTATATTCTGTTTTTAGAATATGTTTACAAAGCCTGTGAAAACATTTAGTTCTAACAAAATTTGCTCCCTGCATATTACCAAACTCTCCCTGCCTCCTATATGAAAGCACACATACACACACACACACACACAGGCTTTACCTCTCTGTGCTGTGGGAAACATTTAGTGACAGTTGTACGTGGAATCTTCTTTAAACTCACTGTTTTTTTTTTTTTTTAAGATTTGTTTCTTTACTTGAAAGGCAGAGTTACAGACAAGCAGAGAGAGAGAGAGAGAGATACCTTCCATCTGCTGATTCATTCCCCAAATGGCCTCAACAGCTGGAGCTGAGCTGATCCGCGCCAGGAGCCAGGAACTTCTTTTGGGTTTCCCATGCAGGTGCAGGGGCCCAAGGACTCCAACCATCCAGCCATAACAGAGAGCTGGATTGGAAGTAGAGCAGCCGGGCCTTAAACCGGCACCCATATGGGGGGCCGGCACTGTAGGTGTTAGCTTTACCTGCTAACCACAGCATACTGTGTGGTTTTAAACTATTTGATTGTCCTTGAAAATAAGGAATATCTTATTTTTAACATTGACCTATCAGTACCTGCAGGGAGTCGGGGAGAAATGTGAGTCTGGCTGAAAGATAATAATTAAAGAGAATAGGATTAATTAGAGCAAGAATAGTAAGAAAATTACAAAATAATTTTATTTGGATTTTTAAACTCAAAGCTGCTGTTTATTTTTCAGTGTTGAAAGCATTTAATGAAGACTTCTTGTCCCTACAATAAAAAAAAAGATAATCACAGAAATAGGCAGAAACTATATTCATATCATTTTCCATTTATAGCAATTCTTTTTTAAAAAAAGTCACATTATTGTTTTTTAAGATTTATTTATTTTTTATGGAATGCAGAGTTAGAGAGACAGAGAGAGAGAGAGAGAGAGAGAGAGAGAGGGAGGGAGAGAGGTCTTCCATCCACTGGTTCACTCCCCAAACAGCCATGACAGCAGGAGCTGGGCTGATCTGAAGCCAGGAGGCAGGAGCTTCTTCTGGGTCTCCCACACAGGTGTAGGGATGCCAGGACTTGGGCCATCTTTCTCTTGGGCTGCTTTCCCAGGACATAGCAGAGAGCTGGATTGGAAGTGGAGCAGCCAGGACTGGACCCAGCACCCATTTGAGATGCCTGCAGTGCAGGCAGCATCTTTACCCATTAGGCCACAGCGCTGGTAATTCTTATTAGAAATAGATTTCCATTGTCCAAGTCAGGATTCTGAATAATATGCACATGTGCTTGCATGATTGAGAAAGTGTTGAATCTATTTTTTTGTGAAAATATAAAATACGCATATTTGTTAAAGGGAAAGTTGAAAAATGAAGACTGCAATAGTATGATTATTCCACGTTCTCCCTTATATATGTGAACTAGAATGAAAAAAATTAAAAAAAAAATCAAAAAACAAAACCAGAAAATAGGACGAAATGCCAGTGTGTATCAGTATTGCTGAAAATACAGTTTGGTCAAACTTGTTTTGTATTTTTGCCAAACAAATGATTAAGAACAAAATATTACTGTAGTTTTAAAAGATTTATTTATTTATTTGAATGTCAAAATTATAGAGAGAGTGGGAGAGAAAGAGAAAGAGGGAGGGAGGAAGGAGAGAGAGAGAGAGAGAGAGAGAGAGAGAGAGAGAGAATCTTCTATTCACTGGTTCACTCCCCAGATGGCTGCAATGGCTAGGACTGGGCCAAGATGAAGCCGGGAGCCAGGAGCTTCTTCAGGGTCTTCCATGGGTGTGCAGGGGCCCAATCACTTGGGCCATCTTCCACTGCTTTCCCAGGTACATTAGTAGGGAGATGGATTGGAAGTGGAGCAGCTGGACATAAACTGGTGCACATATGGGATGCTGATGTCACAGGTCACAGCTTTACCCACTAAGCTACAATGCCTGCCTCCCATTATAGTTTTAATAATCTGTGATTATTTCAATGACTGAAATTGAGGTCTTTTCATTTGATTATTGTGTATAGCACCTGCCTATATTCCTGTTGAACTATGGTCCTTTTACTTTTTTTACTTATTGAACTTTTTAGAGGAGCATTAAGCTTTTGCGTGTGATGTAGATTTAAAATGTGTTGTCTGAAAAATTAAAAGAAAGATGGAAGGAAGGGAGGGGGGCAGAGAGGGAGAAGAGTGAGAGAGAGGAAGGAAGGAAGGAAGGAAGGAAGGAAGGAAGGAAGGAAGGAAGGAAGGAAGGAAGGAAAAAGACAGAAATTGGAAAAGAATCACTGTTGTGGCATAGCAGATTAAATCAGTGCCTGGAATGCTGACACTGACATGCTAAATGGGTGCCATTTTGAGTTCCAGCTGCTTTACTTTCTATGCAACTCCCAGGAGCATGTGGGAGACCCAGAGGAGTTCCTGCTGGACCAGCCCTGGACACTTACAGCCATTTGGGGAGTGAACCAGCAGATGGAAGATCTTCTGTCTCCTCTCTATATTTCAGCCTTTCAAATAAATAAATAAATAAATAAATCTTAAAAAAGAAGATAGAAAAGGGGTAGGGAGGGATGGAGGGAAGGAGAAAGGAAGAAAGGGAAGTATCTATTCTTAGAATTATAATTATCAACTACATTCTATATCATCTTTATATTAATATCACATTAACATGAGAATTGTGTTGTAATATCATGTATTTGTTGTAACCTTGAGAATCTTGTGAATTAATAAATTATTTAAAAATAAAAAAGAATGATTATTTATTTGAGCACATTCTAGGTTTTTTTCAAAAATAAAATAGCATTTGTTCAAATGGTTTAAGATTGCTTTTAGTTGATATCTTCAAGGCACAATTCCTTCCCTTTTCTCTTTTCAGGATCTATTTATTTGACAGAGTTAGAGAGAGAGAGAGTTAGGGAGTTCTCCATTCCCTGGTTCACCACCCAGATGGCTACAGGAGCTTCATCCTAGGTCTTCCACATAGGTGCAGAGTCCCAGGCACTTGGGCCATGTGTTATTGCTTTTCCTAGACCATTATCAGAGAGTTGGATCAGAATGGAGCAGCCAAATTGGTGCCTATATGGGAAGCCAGCATCACAGGCAGTGGCTTTACCCGCTGCACTACGATGCTGGCCCCAAAGCTACATTTTTTTGAAAAAACTTTAATTAATATAAAGAGAATAGGTTTCATGCATCCCATAGGTACATTTCCAAGAAGACCCTCACTTCCCTCACTTCCCTGTCTCCCCAACTCCCTCCTTCTTTCCCCTCTCTTCAATAGTTTTGCAGACGTAATTTTAATACACTCTATATTCACAAGATTAATTTACCACTAATCATAATATTCAACAAGTACAAGTAGGAAGACCACAATTCTGCAGCTGTATAAACAAGAGCTAAAAGTGACAATCATCCCAAAATGTGCATTTGATTCCAATACATTTTTTTGTATTTCATATTAATTGCTACATATCATAGAAACATATGATATGAAACTGGCTTATTTCAATAAGCATAATGGTTTCCAGTTGAATCCATTGTTATTGTAAAAGATAGGATTTCATTATTTTTAATGGCTGAGTAGTATTCCACACTTTCTTCATTCAGTTATCATGTGATGGACATCTGGGTTGATTCCATATCTTAACTATTATGAATTTAGCTACAATAAACATAGGGGTACAAATAACTCTTTCAAATGCTGATTTAATTTCATTAAAGTAAATTCCCAGGAGTGAGATGGCTGGGTCAATCTATTTTCATATTTCTGAGGCATCTTCATACTGTCTTCAATAATAGCTGTACTAGTTTACAAACCTATCAACAATGGATTAGGGTACCTTTTTTTCCCAGCATCCTAACCAAAATTTATTGTTTTTTTTTTATTTTTTTTAATTTTTGTACAATAGCCATTCTAATTGGAGTGAGTTGAAATCTCATTGTATTTTCTGTTTGCATTTTCCTTACGGATAGTGATCCTGAGCATTTTTTCATTTGTCTATTGGCCAATGTATTTCATGCTTTGAAAAATGCCGATTCATGTCTTTTTCCAATTTCTTAATTGCATTGCTTGTTTTGTTGTTGTTGTTTCTTGAGCTCTTTATAGATCCTTGATATTAAACCTTTTTTAGTTGCATAGTTTGCAAATATTTTCCCACATTCTGTCAGTTGCCTCTTAACTTTGTTGAGTGTTTCCTTTGCAGTGCAGCATCTTCACAGCTTGATAAAATTCCATTTGTCTATTTTTGTCTTTATTGCTTAT